GCAGCCACTGTGGAAAACAGTATGGTGTTTCCTCAAAAAAATTACAAATGGAACTCCCATTTGACCCAGTGAACCCACTTCTAGGAATATATCCTAAGAAACCTGAAACACCAATCAGAAAGAAAATATACACCCCTGTGTTCATAGTAGCACAATTTACAATAGCTAAGATTTGGAAACAACAGCCCAAGTGCCCATCAGGAGAATGGAATACTACACAGTGGTAAAAAAAGAAGGAACTCTTACCATTTGCAGCAGCATGGATGGACCTGGAGAATATTATGCTAAGTGAAATAAGCCAGTCAGAGAAAGATAAGTATCACATGATCTCACTCATAAATGGAATCTAATGAACAAAATAGATCTAGAGATATAGAACCATGAACAGACTGATGAATTTCAGAGGGAAGATGGGGGTGGAGAGGTGGGAGGGAGAGATTAACTGGGTAACTTACATGCATATATGCATAGCCCATGGACACAGACATAGTGTGGCGAAGGCTTGGGAAGAGTGGGTGCGGAGAGGAGGGGGGTCAATGGGGGGGAAAACACAAAAGGGACATCTATAATACTTTCAACAATATTTTTAAAAAATGTTTTTAAATTTATAAACAGAACATAGAGAAAGTTAAAACTATGTTATTCTTAACACCCCAAAATAACAAGTAATAACATTTTGGTGCATATTCTTTCAAACTTTTCTCTATAAGTATAGACAGTTTTTCATAAATGAGTCCATTTATGTAAATAGACTTTCATAACCTTTCTAAAAACTCAATGTATAAAAAATAAATAAAAATTAAAACAATATATCAAGGACATCTTTTCATGCTAAGCAATATGGTTCTACATTTTTGCTTCTAATGATTGCATATTATTCTATGGATGCCAGAACTTGCATAAAATTGAAAATAAATATTCAGATGAGCAAAAGAAGTCAGACACAAAGAGCACATACTATATGAGTCCATTTATATGAAGTTCAAGAACATGTAAAAGTAATCCTGGTGACAAGTAGGAAGGTGGTTATCATAGGGGGCACCTTGTCTGGGAAAGGGCACAAGAGAGCCTTCTGAAGTGCAGAAAATGTGCTCTGTCTTGACTGGGTGATGCTTACACAGGTGAATACATATGTAAAAATTCACCAAGCTGGAAAGTTTAATGTGAGTTCTTTATTGCATATATGTTACACCTCAAGAAAATATTTTTGAAGATTCATATTTAGCTTGTTTCTAATTTCTCTCTCATGATTTTGTTCAGGACATCAAAATCCCCAGCTAAACAAACTTGCCACCTTCCCAAACTCCCCAGCAGTGGGCATGGCAGTGACCCAGTTCTGGCTAATGAAACTAAGTGAAAGGCAGATGGATAAAACAGGAAACCAAGGTTGTCCTCTCCCTTCCCACTGCTTGAAACTCAAGCAGTTTGGTTAGAGGTAGAGTAGCCATATTGTGACCATTAGGATGAAAGCCATAAGCTGTGGATGATGAAAGTAGAAGCTAGCCCGATGATTCTTTGTCATCATTGATGTTTCTATCTTTCTCTCCCATCCTCTCGGAAATAAATAAAAATAGATACATATTTTTTAAAGAAAGTAGAAGCAAGAAAGGGTGTGGGTTCTGAAAGACTTCCTAAAACAGCTCTTCTAGCCCTGGATTGCTTAAATCTAGACTTTACTCCATGAAAAAATTATTATTCATTAAGCTGCTGGAGGTGGGTTTCTGTGACTTGCAGTGGTCATCAACTTTAATTAACAATCTTGTCCATACATCTTCTAGAGTGGTCATAAGGCAGGTCACAAATACTTAAGTTCTCCTCTCAAGCACATGGCAGGATTGTATTCTTCAACTCTTTGAATTAGGAATTTGCTTTGGTCAATTTCTGTTAGCAAAGTGACTTATGATACTCTGGGTGGGAACTTTAAAAGCCAGTGCTTGATTCTCAACATTCCCTTGCCCCATCCTATTGATCATGATTCAGGCTGGCCTTCAGGGCTCTTCATTATCAGTTCTTCTCCCGTGGTCGGCAAACTGCGGCTCTCCAGCCACATGCGGCTCTTTGGCTCCTTGAGTGTGGCTCTTCCTAAGCCTTAGGAGTACCCTAGTTAAGTTAATAACAATGTACCTACCTATATAGTTTAAGTTTAAAAAATTTGGCTCTCAAAAGAAATTTCAATCGTTGTACTGTTGATATTTGGCTCTGTTGACTAATGAGTTTGCCAACCACTGTATCTAGGCTCTTCCCATCCTTTCTCACACAGCCATCAGAATTCTCCAAACTTATATAAACACCAGGCACATCCTTACTGCAAGCTTGGCTTCCCACTAGATAGAGTCTCCAGTGGCCTGGGTCCCTGAGTTACTGTAAGGAGCAAGACTAGCTGGCCTGCTATGATCAAGTAATGGGTTGAAGAAATAAATCTTTGTTAGTTAATCCACTGAGACTTGACTGTTGTTTATAATTGCAGCTGAAACTAGTTTACCTAAAAGAATACCGATGTTTCATTATCTCTTTGGGATCAATTCCAAAAGTTATGCATGTTTCAATACACATCAACAAACTGCCCCCCAGAAATGTTAGATCTGTTTACACCCTCTCTGACAGTATATAACAGAGTCCCTTGTAATACATCTTTTGTTACATTGGCAACTGGGTTTGCACAATCTTTCTAATTTTTCCTAATCTGGTAGGCAAGAAGAATATGTCATTTTAAAATTTCATATCTTTATATAAGGATTTATAAAGAT